CTGCTGTTGGGCATTTGCTGCTTCCTCAGAGTGTTTGGATCTGTTGAGGAGGAGAAGTCAATGCTGAGTTAGACCAGGCTGCTGCAGCCAAACAGGACACGTCTCACAGCCACCCCACTCTCAGGCTCTCTCTCCTCACTCAGACCTCCCTGCAGCTCCTTCCCCTGAGCTCTGGCTGTTGCTGCCTGAATTCTTTGTGTTTCTTCCCCCAGTTTCATCTGCCACAGTTAGGAGTGGTTTTGAATGCTGGAAATCTCTGACAATAAATGGCACTGGTGGTCAGGTCTTGTTGGTTCTGAGGGCACAGGGACGGTCTCTCAGTGCAGACACAAGAGCTGCTCTGCCCATCAGTCTGTGCTCAGCTGCCCTGTGCTGGCACCTTGGAGCTGCAGGACCATCACACTCAACTGTTCCCCTACACAGAAACTGCACAGAGAGCCAGAAATCCGTGTCCAAAGAACAGACTGACACACTCTTCATCTTCTCATCTCTCCCCTCCCATAGTGAGACACCAAATGCTCATTGCAGTTGCCCAGAGCATTTCCATGGAGTTAGCACTGAGGAGTTTTCTCCACGGGGATCCTGTGCAGCACAGGGATACTATGGCAGAGCTGTGCCCTCCTGGAGGGCACCTGCAGCCCTGCAGGACACCCAGGGAAACAGCTGAAGAGCCTGAAGTGTCCTGGAGGGCCTTTGGGCACTTTGCTCTCAGACACATCCCCACAGCAGCGCCCAAAGGGGTTGTATCTGCACAGGAATCTGCCCCCCCCAACCCCACACTGGCTCAGAAAAGTCAAGGCTGAGAACAAGGAGAGCCCTAGGCATTTCATCACCCTCAGGGTGGGGGGAGGTGGACTGGACTTGTTTACATGAGACTCAGTCCCTGAGAGGAAGTTCAAACAAACTTTCAAGAAGTCAAATTGAGACTGAAACACTAAGGGTTCTTGTAGTGCTAATGAGTCTAACTGAGGGACACAACTGAGAACATGTCCCCAGGTTCCAGTAAGAGCAGAAAACTGTAAAAAGTGATGACAAGGATGGACAAGCAAAAGAAAAGTGGCTCTGATGCTGAAGAAACATTGACTTGTTTCCTCAATCCAAAGGACCAAGGCCTGACCCCCAGCCCCTGGGAAGGTAGATCCTGTCCCTGCCTCATTGCTCAGGGCTCTTCCTGGGGCTCTGGGATGTGGGATGGGCAGTGCCAAGGGCAGGACGATGGGGTGGCACCTGCCAGGCTGCTGAGCAGGGACAAGGAGGCCAGGGGGCCCCAGGGCTGCAAGGGCCACTTGTGTCCTCCTGGCCTCAGGGGCACAGCCAGCAGCCATGGCCAAAGGCCTGCAGAAGGTGGCTGTGTCAGGGCCTTTCAGCTTCTGCACAGGCCTCTCTGCTGTGCAGCCCAGGCTGTCCTACGGTGTCCATGCCCTGCCCCTTTCCCTGCAGGCTGTCGTCATCCCCCTGGCTGCCCCACCCTGCTGGCCCCTTCCTGCACTGACATCTCTGCGTCCTCCCTGGCTCTTCCTGCACACACAAAGCCTTGGGCTCATCCAGACTCCTCCTGGCTGATGTGTTGCACCACAGCACTGCCCTTGGAGAGCAATTCCTTTTTCTTCTTGTCCACTCTGGACCTCCCCAGCTGCACTTGGCATTAGTTCTTTCTTTCTCCTGCTGTTTCCTGCTATGACAAAAGGATCCACCATCTCTAAATCCTCCCTTTAAGCCCTCTGAGGGCTGTCCTGTACTGTCCTCAGTCTCCAAACCATTGAGACCACAGCTCCTTAACCCCTCTATATGAGCTTGAAACCCCCTCTGGGGAGATCTCTGGGCACTCAGTAATGTTGTTGCAGATTAAAATGTCCTGATCATAGTTTAAGGATATCCCAGGGATACGTTTTACCAAGGCCTTTACCAAGGCACAACATGGGGCAGTTGCTTTGAACTGAAAGGGAAGAATATTTTTTGGATAATAGGAGGAAATGTTTAACAATAAGAGTGGAAAGAACTGGAACAGGCTTCCAGAGGAGTTGATGTCCCACCTCTTAATTTGTCTAAGGACTGTGAGTAACCTGAATTAGCAAAAGATGTCACTGTCCATGTTCAGGGACTTGGACCAGATGACCTTTTAACTCCATTTGAAGCAAAACCATTCTGTGATTATTTTGAGTCTAAAGTCCCAAACTCCTTCGCAAAAGAATTTCCATATTGAGGATATGAATTGTCGCAGTTTTGGAGAAAACCTTCTAAGCCCAAAAGGTAAAAAATTAATTCACAGGCAGTTCCAAGATATCTGTATGAAACTTGAAGCAAGTGGGTCAATGGCAGAACCTCTCAGGGTGACCTTGCAGCTGAGGGTGGGGGATTGGGCCTCAGAGTCTGAGACTCATGATGGGCAGCCAGAAAGGGTACTTGGGGACTGGGCGAGATGTGCCATGAGATGTCTAGGAAAGAACCAAAGCAAGGGTAGAATCACAGTGGTTTGTGGAGGAATAAGCATGAGAAAACAGGGAAAAGGGAATGAACAGGCTGGTCATGTTAATCAGGAGGCTGCTCAAGACATATCTCTTGCTGTGCCCTTATACCAATCCCCACAGCCTGTCCCGTTTTCTTAAAAACTCCATTGCCAAGAAGTTTCTGTGGGGAGGGACCTCTCTGCTCCTGGCACAGATTGTGGCCCAAGTTGCAGCCCCTGCAGCAGGAGCCACAAAGAGTCAGGTTCTGTGCTCTTTGGGGGGCCAGACTCTGCCCAGACTGGGGGGTGTGTGTGTTGGGAGCACAAAACAGTGAAGGAAATGCAAAACTAAATACACAGGTGGAGGGGTTTGTCCCCCTGCCAAAGGAACCCAGGACACTGCCAAAACTCAGGGAGGCATGGGAACCCCAGGGCACTGTGGAATCTCCTGGAATCCAGGGGCCATTGTAATCCATTGGAGCCTCCTGGAACCAAAGGGAACATGTGACACTGTGGATCCTCCTGGGATCAAAAGGACCCCGAGACTCTGTGGAACCTCCTGGGATCAAAAGGCAAGTGTGACATCACAGAACCTTTGGGAACCAAAGGGGACCAACAGGGCATTGTAGAGTTTCATGGAATCAAGGGGCCATTGTGACATTGTGGAACCTCACAGAATCCAGGGGCCATTCTGATTCTGCAGGGTCTTATGGAGTCAAAGGGACCATTGGGACACTGTGGAACCTCATGGGATCAAGGGGCCATTGTGACACTGGGGAAAATGAGGGAATCAGTGGGCCATTGGTACACTGCAGGGCCTTATGGAGCCCAAGAACACTGGGAACAGTGCAAGCTCATGGAATCAAGGAGCCACTGTGGCACTGCAGAGTCTCAAGGAATAAGGGATCCAATCTTGACCTCAGATTTTGTCAACAAATTAAATTTACGGAATTCCATAAGTGTGATTGAACCACTTTTGTCCCACACTTTTTATTGTTTGGCAAAATGGGAATATTTATATAAAATGATTCATTTATTCTTACAATTGATCAGAAAAAAGATCCTAATCAGAATTATTTACTACTCAGTATAAAGGCTAAAACTACCAGTAGTAGAGTATAATATGTGCACTATATTGAAGCAATTCTGGAAAAAATGATATTAAAGCCAGCAAAAAGAAATAATTATTACATAGAGATCTGATGTCACTCACCCAGACCCAGATTTCTTTTGCTCAACCTTGAGGAGTGTCCTTGGAGGGCATCCCCAGCCAAGGCAGGAATCTCTACACACACAACCCAAGAAGGTCTCAGAAGAAGCTGCCTGTAGGAAAGGGGACTGGACTGCTCTAGTATGAAGGGACTGATTGCTCCTCCCAAATGTCCAGGCCAGTTACCAGCTTCTCTCTCACAGCCCTTTCCACCCTCTGGGGGAAGAACCTTTTCCCAAGATCCAACCTAACCCTGCCCTGACACAACTCCAGGCCATTCCCTCAGTCCTGTCCCTGGTCCCCACAGAGCAGAGCTCAGGGCCTGCCCCTCCTGTGCCCCTGCCCAGGAAGTTGTGACTGCAGTGAGGTCTCCCCTCAGTCTCCTCTTCTCCAGCTGAACACCCCAAGTGCCCTCAGTGTCCTCACATGCCTTCCCCTCCAGGTCCTTCTTCGTTGCCCTCCTTTGGACACTCTCCAATGGGTCAATCTCTCCCTTCCATTGTGTCCCCCCAAACTGTCCCAATCAAAGGGCCATTGGGACCCTGCAGGGCCTCCTGGAGCTGAGGGGACCACTGTGACACTGTCACACCTGGTGGAATCAAGGGCCCAGTGAGACAGTGCAGGTCCTCAATCAACCCAAGGTAACCTGGACAGCACAGAAACTCGTGGCATCAAGGGGTCACTGTGACTCTGTGGGAACTTATGGAATGAAGGGGCCATTGTGACCCTACAGGGCTTCGTGGAACCTTGTCTGTTGGGAAACACAAAGGGATATGTGGGAGGGTTTCACTGACAACCAGGAGAATTTTGGAGAGGGACCTTTACACACCCAGATCTTGGTGTGTCCACACATCTCTGCCTGGGTGTGGGTGTTGTTGCCTTAAGAGATCATGAAGAAAAAGACTCCAGGCCAATTTAGGTAGGAGATAAGATAAAGAATCCTGGTCCTTTAATGAGTTGTTAGGCCTAGAGGAATACATACCATGTGTGCCCCCCCAAGACAGGGGTTCTATGGTTTTATAATAAGGTCCATCCAATCCCAGGTTTATGCAGTCCTGGTTCTGCCCCATTCTGCCCCCTGACACACCCCTTCAGGAACTGGGTTTGGTGTCTTTAGGACCCCTTCTTCCTCATCTTCATCTTCTTCACAGCACACACAATCCTGGGAGTTCCTAAAGAGTTCTGCCTAGAAGGTCACTGTGTCTGTGTGATGTCTTCTAGTCCAGGCCTTAGGGTGTTTTTGTGCAATTCTACCTTGAAAAGAAGACTAAAAATGGAGTTTAGAGAGATTTATATGGAATGGGGTAGTAGGGTTGGGTATGTGTAAATACTCTGTTAAGTGTAAGGGATATAATACAGCTACATTAAAATATATTCACTACACAAGTAGTTCTAAAATCTACAAAAGTAAAAAACCCAAAAAGATCTGAGATATCAGTGTGAATTGACTGTGGTGTGAGTGTTGTTATTGTGAATCTATAATTCAGCCACTGTTCATTTGTAGTAAATGCTGCTGAATCCCTTGATAACTGTTAAGTTGGTCAATGATTAAGTGCTACTAGTCTCTTTTACCCTCTTATCTCTGTGTCCAAACCCTTTGCATCCTGACCCTCTTGCATCCCAGGGCTCTGTGGAAATCATTGCCCTTCATAAAACAAAAGCTATTCTTTTGGAACTTCTCTTTGAAATTTTCCTCCTTAGCTAAACTACAAAACAACTCCAATTAGTTGTTGAAGACTTGATGACATGAAGACAATTAAAGGAAGGAAATTAGTTTTCTTTTTCTGTATTTTAATGAGCCCCACAGTGTGTTTACAGATTAGTTCATCATCCTCAAGTACAGAGAAAAGATTGAAGAAGCTACTCAAGAAGTCAGAAGCCAAACTCCCAGTCCCTTGAAGAATTGCTGGGCCCCACTGAGGGCAGGCACTGACAAAGCCTCCCCAGGGACTCCTGAGAGCAGATCCTTGCAGGCCAGGAGTGCAGGCAGACAAAGGAAAGTGTCTTGTGGTGGTCTGAGGGGCAGAGGCAGCTGCCAGAGCCAAGGGCACAAAGGCCTGGGTGCCTTTGGGCCTTGCAGCCCTGCCAGAG